CAATACAGAAGTCCTCCGGCGGGCAAATATGCCTGGCATTGAAGCATTCATCATGAAAGCACAGCTGCGATGGGCTGGCCATCTGGTTCGGATGGACAAAACTCGTCTCCCGAAGATAGTATTTTACTGTGAACTTGCTTCCGGCTCGAGAAAGGCCGGACGCCCCTACAAGCGCTACAAGGACTCGCTGAAGTCGTACCTCACAGCATGCAGCATTCCACATCGGGAATGGGAATCTACTGCTGCTGACAGAAGCTCCTGGCGCCATGCTGTTCGCCAAGGAGTAAGGACCTTCGAGGAGAACAGACTCGACGAGCTGGACCGGAAACGACGAGACAAGAAGGGAAGGAGACCCGACCCCAGCGCCACCGTCGTATGCCCAGTATGCGGACGTACCTGTGCTTCAGCATTTGGGCTGCGATCACACCTAAGACGCCATTGACGTCATCATCGCTTCGCGATGGACATCCAAGAAGAAGAAGGCTTCTGTCCATATTTGCTGTCTTATGTTCAAAGTCTTGTAAAGCAAACAAGTTTCTGTTGTTGTAGGTGCCTTTTTCCTTACAGGTGAGCTGATGCATCCAGAAATTTGGAGTGTAATTCTATATATTGAGTCAAAATGCTAGAAAACAGCATGTGTGATCAAAATAAAACATACTTGGTCACACATCCTGAACCAAATAGAGCAGACTTGAAACTAAACCATCATGCCTTTATGCTTGCATCCACCTGTGTAATGTCATGATGAATTGTTGTGCTCAAATTCTGCTGTTTTTGTGCCCTGTTGCTATTATGCACATCAATATATCGGAGCAATGTTATCAGATGTGTCATGTCTTTGTCTGCCAAAAAAAATAACCAAAAATAGGTACTACTGCAAAACATTTTCTTTCATCAAAATTTAAAAATTTTAAAAAAGCTTATTTCAAAACAAGTTTTAAACCTTTGGCTAACCTGTAATTGCTGCTCAAGACAGATTAATGAAATTTGTTTTTTTTGTCAGTGACAGCATTGTAGTATGTTTTTATTGGGTCACACCTTTTAGTCATGTTACATGTGCATCACAGTTTTCTTATCAATGCTTTTAATGTTTTAATGTGTTGTTTGTAATCCTTGTTGATTGCTTTCCTCAGTGATTTAGACAGGTAGACTCATGGAAGGTATGTACACTTACTTTGCCCTTAAATAATATGGTAGACAAACTGCTCTGTTTACACATTTTTTCTTCCCTCCCCACAGAGCTTTTAGCCGGGAGCTTTACCAGCAGAATGTGGGGGTAGTGGTGGTGGGTTTCCCTGCCACTCCCCTTGTGGAGTCCCGAGCACGTTTCTGTCTGTCTGCTGCCCACACACGAGAAATGTTAGACAAGGTAGGGCTGGTCGGTAGCCACACCCTAGCTCATGTCTCCAACTTACATCCAACAATTAAAGGGAGACATGCCCTTAGATACCAGGTTGTTTAATTGTTGTTAGTAAAACCATCCAGTCAACATACTGTTATACAGGTTGATGTGATATAAGTACAAAATAATTTTACAGCACATCAAATGAACAACATCAGGGCATTGACGTGTGGGAACATGGTTTTCCGGAAGAACAATGATGTAGGTATGAAACTGTGTTGCAATTTTAATGCTTTTTTGAAGGTGATGACATCAACTGAGGATCAAGAGCCTGAACAGTCATCCTCCCACACTCAGAAATACCATCATCAGCAGTGGGATGTAAAACAGTTCTACCAATGGTACCATTACCAAATATCCTTTCTTTGCTATAATTTAGGAATACTTGTTTCTTACAATATGTGGATGTTATCTTGGTAGGTTCTGGATGCCATCAGTGATGTAGGAGACCGCCTGCAGCTGAAGTACTCCCTCAACCCACCAACAAAGGCAGCGTCTGCTGAGGAGTGCTACAAGCAGGTGGACAGCCTGGCACACGAGGCTTGATGTCCTCTGGTCACGGACATTGGTTACAATCTACTTGTCTGATGCAGTCTTGAAGAGAAAATGCAGTTTGTTGGTTGCAGACACACTGTAATTTATCATGTTTTGGAGGGAAACACCTAAAAAGTTCAAAAATGCAGCACAAGAATCTCCACCAATATTCCACTCCATCACTTTGTGTACCATTGACTATTACATGTTCTGAATAGTTGATGACAGGAACAATAACAACGTTATGCATATTTTCACTTTGTTTTACATTTAGAGGGATGCTTTGTGTGTTGTAACATGGTGGGGATTTTATCATGAAGTGGGGTGATGTGATGTGATAGGTGACAAGACATCTGGTGGCCCAAATTCCTCATTTGTTGTTTTGTTGAAATGAAGACTTGTACTTTGTAAATGTAAATGTTTGTTGTGGGACATGAGATATGTAAAGTTGCCTTATCCTAATGGGATATATTTCCAACATGTATATACTACTTACTCTCTCATAAAGGGAAAGGGTTTGAATTTTCTGAGACATTTAAGAGCCAGTAATGTTTTCACTAAGTGTGAAAACTGAATGTTGTCAAATGGCTGTGGCGCTAGGCAAGTGGACGCAAGATGGAGAAGTCGTGGATTTGATTCCTTGCACTCTTGGCTAGATATTGTGTCCTTGGGACAGGTACATCACACAACTTTCCTCTTTCCACCCAGGTGGAATGGCTACCTAATTCGGTTGGGGAGGTTATAAGCAGAAGAAGGAGAGGGTTTTTCTCCAGTACTGTGCCCTGGACACATTGAATTATCAACCCACTGCGCCTACAGCCTCAAAAAGGCTACCTTTACCTTACCTACCTACGTACACCATGTACAAATCAAAGATTGCCTTTTCATGTTTGTAAGGAAATTTTTTTTGCTATTATCAGGTCGTTCATGATTGTACTTGACTACGGTATCCCATAAATTCATCCTAACATGTCTATCAGTTTGCACAAGTAAAGATGAATGTATGATTTATAGAGGTGTTGAAATAGATTTTATCCGTACATATCCCATAGTATTCAAGTTATAGCAACGGTAGTTCAGCAAGTTACCAGTGAGTTTTTGCTGTTTGAACTCAAAATGCATTCAATTCAGCTCAAAGGGGGGTTTAAAGTTAATAACAGTTGCATATATTATTGTAGGAGAAAACAGTGAATTTTTATATACAGTTATGACAAAATTTCACAACCTTTTTAAGAATTTGGATTAATATTATATCACAATTGTTCTTTCATCACACTATCATTGTGTCTCATTTAATTGGGAAGGATATTTATAAATAACATGGATCTAATGGTCAAAATGTCAGCAGCAGTATGATCCAACTGATGCTGCCTAATTTTTTTCTTTGGTATATTTATGTGTGTGTGTGTGTGTGCGTTTCAGTGCTGTTGCTTTATGACATGGAGCTTTGCCTACTTTTAATATTTTGCAAGTGTTGAATGTTGGAAGAGACAATTTGATACTTCCCATGGTCAGGGCAGCTACATATAGAATTCCACAAATTTCTTACTGCCATTTGTCATTGACTCATGTAAACCATTCCATTGCATTTACTACATTGTCATTTAGACTAGTCACTCTCTCTGACTTCAAAAGAATTAAGATATGAATATGTGAAATGTAAACCCTGAGATGTGCATTACGGACGTGATCATGGAAATGTTTGTTTTTTTATTATATTTCAGTCCATACCATGGTATGGATGAAATATATTGTGTTCTCTCATGTTTCTTCTTCTCCTTCTCCTTCTCCTCCTCCTCCTGCCAAACAGTCAGAGGGATTCAACTCCGCCATCATTCAGCCAAATGACTTGAAATTTGGCATGGAGGTAGAGTGGGCCAATACCCCCAGGCGTTTTTTTCATTTTTTTGATACATGCCTTTGAAAATTTTTTAAGAAGGTTTTTTGGGGCATTTTTCGCCAAAAAACTGGATTTTTGGATCCTGAGCCCTGGTTTTACAACCAAATGATCTGAAATTCGGTATAAGTGTACCTTGAACATGTGTCTACAGAATAGCAGTCACATATTTGGCATAAACCACTTCCAAATGACTCATTTGGGGGACTTTAATGGCTATTTTCAGCAAAAAAAGGGCCAAAAGTGCTATACCCGTTCCATGTTCTATCTAAAGAATGTCCGGTTCCATCCATGGAACACGTGTTCCATTGCGGGTTACCTGAGGTCACATTGCACCTAAGTGGTGCGTAATGACCCACACATTCAATTTTATGTGCCTAAGACCTTCAAAATGTATCAAATCTCATCATTGTTAGTTTTTGCATACCTGTAATAAGATTAGTAAAGCTTTCGAGATTCAAAGTACTTGTTGTTGCATCTTTGTTCTCATATAGCTACTATTTAATTCATTTATTTGAGAACCTTTGCCAGTTTTGCACTGGGGTAAGTTTGGAATAGTCCACTTTTGCGTGGGAGGGAGATGGACTGAAATATGCTGTATTTGCTCCCAAGCAAATGTCGGCCTTTCTAGTTAAATTATGATTTTCCATCTTTATAATATAGCAAAAGGTCAACGAAAGCTGAATTTTTGATATGCCTTACACTCCACTTACTACATCAACAAGACGAGATTTATGTACAAGACCACAGCTGCCTTATGCTACTATGTTACAAGGACCAACCAGTAGGTACTTTTGATGGGACATGCATTGACATATTATATATATATATATATTGAGTTTCATTAGTCATTTTTGTTGATTACCGCCCATAGCCTCTGAGAAGAATATGATAAAAGTGTTACAAACATGTCAATATACAATCTATGCTTAGTGAAAGCTACTGGAATAGAACAAAATGTTTAGACTGACAAGCATTGTTTTGTCAGATGTTGACAGATGATGATGAAGGTATTAAAGGTGAATGATTTGCTTGACACTGGGACACTGGCCATACAGATTTGTGCAGCTTGGTTCATACCCTTCTTGCTCAGCTGCTTACAGAGTCTCTCTACCTGTTTACTAGTAGTTGGGAGTCATACATTGTACATGTGTAGGTTACATCCCATTGATTGGAATATGCAAACCAAATATTGACTGCTGCTTCCTTATTAACAATGGCCAAACCTGGTGCATGTGGGAAAGATTGCCTGCCATCGTCCCGAGAGCTGTCCTGCTGTGTATTATAGAATTGAAAAATATTGTAAGGCCATACAAATTAATCTTCTATGGATCAGGTCCTTTTGACACTCCATATCAAGTGCTAGCAACAGGTACCTGGGACATTTTACAACTTATGTAAATATGAGTTTTAGGTAGTTTTATGAAGGGCTGACTGCCACTACTTAATGTAGGGCAATTTGTCATGTACCATGTATCTGTTGACTACCTGTTGAAAGGAGTATTTTGTTTTGAAGGAAGTTTAAAATACGTGTGCTTGCAATTACCATCCATAGAATTAAATTTATATGGTCATATCAGGAACTACAAATTTTAAAGTTCATGGTGATTTATGCAATGGATTCTTAGTACTTGGATACTTTATTAATTGATTAAGCTCTTATCATTTGTCATTTAGTGCCTTTGTAATATACCGGTATCACATTGTAATATATCACACAATTGTAAACCACTGTATGATATTCATTGTCCTCCTATGAATAGTGTTTCAGTACACTGATGTGCTGGAGCTTAACCTGCAGTCATGCAAAAGAACATAAAGAATGTGCCTTGTGTCTTTGCTGCCTATCATCTTGTATTG